CTGTGCCTGGAAGAAACCCAGGGAAAAGACCAGAAATTGTCTCTTCTGGTTGTTCTCCAAAGGGCTGGTTGCTTTCTGCCATTGCTTGTGCTTGTCTGAATATTGCTGTGACATGTTCTGTCTCCCCAAAATTCTTTCTTGTGCATGTGCTCTGCTGCCAGTTACCTGCCAGAATGGGGCATGGATGCTGCCCACTCCCTCTGAGTGTTCTGGGTGCAGACACCTGGATGAGCCCAGCCACACACCTCATTACAGCTCCCCAGCAGAGGTGCTTGTGTCTGAATCCACAAAGAGGAAGGATGCATTTAAACAAATCAATTGTGTGGCTCTATTAGATTTCTTTTCCTAAGCTTTTTAATTAAGCCTCTCTTGTCTATATCCTTCACTTTCTAGATGCAATAAAAATGAGCAGTCACAAGAATCTAAGGAGATTTGATTGCCTCTTTGAAGCCAAAAATTTGATTTGCTTTTGGAGCCAAAAAATTCCCATTCCCAATCAAAACCTTTCAGTAAGAATTAAAATAGGAATAATTCCCAAAGGTCCTCCCTTAGCTCTGTGAACGCCAGAATTGCCACACAGTTCTTCACAGCCAGGGGTATGATGTGAGAAAGCAAATGGTCACTTATTTGGTCATCTCGTGCATCAAAGAGAGGTCAATGCCTCCCACAACATTAAGGCAGTAAGTGAGTCTGGAGCTCTCTGTGGGATTCTGGTGTTGGAGTCTTACATCACCGTAGTTTTGAAAAATATCTGTCTTTTAAAAAATTCAAAACAACAAACAACAACAATTAGCCTTTGTGTTTAGGCAGAAATTAAGGAAATGTGTTCTTCACCAATAGGAGCCCAAGCATAAAAGCCAGAGCTTCCTAGAATTAAACTGCTTTCTGGAGACAGCCCTGTTTGACTTTATAGCTCTGATCCTTGCAGGCAGGGCTCTCATGTGGCCCACTGAACACTGCCCAGGGGTTCAGCTGTTGCTCCCATGTGGGATTTCTTGGCCTCCATGTCCTGGACCATCCCCATGCAGTCTGTGCATCTAAATGCATGTCTCAGTTTTTGGTATCAAACCAAGAGGAAAAACTGAGTTCTGACTGCAATAACTGTCTGGATCCATCACTGCTGCTGCCAACCTCTATTTTCTTTTTCTCTCTCTATTTTTTTTTTTTTTTGGTCCTGCTTGGATGTTAAAATCGAAAATTGGACAGATTAGCAGCCAGTGTCTGCAGGTAGGGTTTGGCTTTGACTAGCACAGTCACAGTATCCTCTCAGAAATTCCGTGGCAGGATCCTTCTGGATGCATTATTTCAGTAGTGAGGAGCCTGTGTTTGTGGAGTGGCATCTTGGTGGTCAGGGGTCAGTGAGCCGTCACTGCTGAGGCTGAAGCACTCGTTGCCCCTGGCAGGTCCTGGAGAAGAGTCAGCATGATTTGGAGAAGCTCATTGCTGTGCCCACAAAGAGATCCAGGTCCTAATTTCTGGCTCTTCCAGTGATGCCTTAAACCAAGTGCTAATCCCTGTACAATGTAAAGCTCTGGGCGTTGTTAACCCTTCTGGTAATATAGTTATTTGTTTCCCTCTGTGTGCTCGTCCTTGTCATATGAATGCAGTTTAGCTGCACACATGCCATGTGTGCCAAGCAGACAGCTCCTGTCACCAGTCCTTTTTCCTTTGTTCAAGTCAGCATCCATCGAAAATGCCACCTTCAATTTCAGAACTTATTCTCTGGTGTGGGAGAGAGCATTCCCTTCCAAGAGAGAAGTCAGTTCTCCCCTGAGAACTGACTCTTCCTACAGAACAAAGAAGCACCTCTCCCACTGCCCCGCTGGCAATTGCAGGCTGTAATTTACCCTGATCATTTCAGGCACCGCAATTATTTTTTTCTCTTTTTTTAGGTTTTGCACAGACACAACAGGAAGCGAGGCTGGGGCTGTGAGACAGCGGCGGGGAGGCAGAGGTGGGGTCAGGATTAGCTCCTCAGGGCCTCTGGGGTGCCTGCTCATGTGCAAGTACATGTGCTGGCTCTTCACTTCCCTTGTCTGCAGACCACTGATCTTCTCCAAGTGTTAACCCTCTCCAGTGTTTCATATTGGAGACCACACGTGGAGTTTTTGGCTTCTTGTGGCCTGAGGGTCCAGCCTGGAAGATATCTGAAAGCTTCATCCTCAAACCCAAAATGAGTTGGGATTCTTCCTGTTGCATCCCAGCCACCCACTCCCACTGATCTGGGGTTTCCAAACCTCTTCCAGTCTGGCACCTGAGCAGGTGGGTGTGATGATGTCTTGCATGTGGAACAGCTGCCATCCTCTCTGCTGGCCTGTTCCCAGGGGTGATGGCATCCCAGCTCTGCTCATACACACATCCAGCCCACGCAGCTCGGTGAGTCCTGGCATCACCTGCTCACCTGGCAGCCCTTCTCAGCACCTCTGGGTCTGCCTTGGTCAGGGAGAGCAGAGCTGTCAGTGCTGCAAGGGAGGGTCACTGATGCTATGGATAGTAGCATATGGATAATGCTTTTTTTTTTGCTGTGCTGGCAAATATCTCACTTGATTTGTTTCAGGGCTTCATTTGCCTTTTTTTATGACTGTCACACCGGCAGCTGATGCGCCAGAACTAGTGCATCTGGGACCTCCTGCTACTTCCAGCAGCAAAGTAGCAGAAACTGCTGAATTCCAAGATTGTGAAATTAAATCCCCTATTAAGTTTCCACTCCCCTGGTCCAGGATGAACTTCAGTTTCCGTGTTGGTGTTTGTCTCTCCCTGCCATGGCAGCCTTTCTCAAGTCTTTGTCCAGGTTTTGTATCAAGTCCTTCTCAATGTATTAATCCCAAAGCTAATCTGGGAGGTATTTTTCTAGGAATCTGCCTTCTGCCCAGTATTTCTTATTTAAGTGCCACCTTCTTTCTTGTTGCTTGTGACCTTTCCAGTTCACCTTCTAAACTTCATCCTCTCTGACCGAAGAGGATGAAATCCTTGTTTCCTACGGAGTGTTGTCTCTCATGCACTCTGTGTATCTGGGTGAGGATCTACCACATAGGCTTGATCTACAGAAACAGCTTATTTTTATTTACAGACAAGTTTGCATGGGTATGAGCTGTGTCTGGTTAATGCTATGTTGATTTTCATTCTAAGTTATTTATTATCCAGTTGCACCCACATGTTTTAATTGCTTTCTTTTCTTCAGACTGTTTTCTAAAGCCTGGGTAATGCTGATGTCAGCCTAGCAGGCTTGTTGCTGCCTGAATCTTGTCTCCAAGCCAAACTCTTCAATTCACACGCTGGATTTGCTGTTGTGGTTGCAGAGAACCTCCCTCCTTTTTTAAGGGTCTCTGCAGCCAAAGCAGCATATTCTTTCACTGCTACATCCAGAAGTCTGGAATAGGCATGATCCAGTCTTTCCCTCACCTCACAAGTCTGGCTGTCTTTGTAATCAGCTAGTACACCTAAATATTCACAGCTTAAAAATCTATTCCCTTTTCCAAGGACAGCTGGCAAGACATTGAAGCCCCAGATCCTGCTGCGGTGTTGATGTCACACTGCAAGAGAGTAACTTCAGCTGTGGTGGGACAGCACTGAAATCTGGGGTACAGGAGGAAAGAAAGGAGGACATGTGATATCTTTTTAAGCTCCAAAATAAAGCCCTTGTAGCATGGGAGACTCAAAAATGAGCCTGAGCTTCCTTTCAGTCTCATCTTGTTCAGTGATTTCTGGTCAGTGTCTCTGCCTTAGCACAGCAGTGTTGGTCTCCTGCTCCACATCATTCCCATTCCCTTGCCTCATCGTTTGAAGATTAAAAGGACAAATGTGATACTTCCTTCTGCCTGTGTCAGTGAAAAACACTTCAGATTTCGATCAAAGACATGCACTGTGTTGATACTTCTCACCCAAATAGTGATCCTGCAGTTGCCAAGGGCTGGTGTTTTTTCCCCTTTAGAAAGTTGATATGCCTTGGCTAAGTGATGTCCCTGCTTTCAGATGCAATTGTGGCAATGCTAAATTTCCAAGGATTACCACTGCATGTGGTGGAATCTGGGAACCTCAGTAACAAGCTATAAAGTCAGGAGAAAATCCAAGATGTGAAGATCTTGGCAGCTCCTCCACAATGGAATATCCTGCTGTACTCAGGGCTGTGGTGCCAAAATGCAACACAAACCATTAACTACTCACATGATACTCCCTCCTCAACAGTGTCATTTATTTAAGTATTCCTTGGCCTTTCCAAACTTTTTGGGAGTCCCAGGAGCATTTCAGAGATTGGTAAACCGATGGTACAGGGCATGGGATGCCTAACTCTCTCTTGGCGTGAATGAGTTGAGTAGGAGGGATGTGTAAATGTGAGCATTTACATGTTGTAAGCATGTGAGCAGTGATGCTGCAGGTGCTGAGGCTGGTGAACAGCGGGTGGCCACAGCCTGGGGTCATGGGGCTGGGCTGTGTTGGGTGTCAAAGGCTGATCTTAGTGGAGTGGACTCCATTAAATCACTGTCTCCAGCCTGTTGCTGGCTCAAGTGGGTTGCAGCAGCCCTGGCCTGCTTACCACTGTGATGCCAGATGTTTTGGGGATGCTTTGGGCACAGACAGCCTGGACTTGTCTCTGTACACACACCTGCAACCGCTCTGACCCAGCCTTATGGAGCATGGACACTCCATCCCATGGGACACAGCAGATGCTGCCCTCCTCATGGTGCATCTGCCACGGGCCTTCACCCCGGCTGCAGAAGTCACCGTCGTGGCCCAGCTGGAATCCCAGCTGCTTTTCTCCCAGGAATGCCGTGTGCAGTGTGAGCAGACAGTTCCTGCAGTGGAGCCGTGTGAAAACCCAAAACCTGCTGCCAGGCCAGGCCTTGCTCTGGAGGTTTGGCAGCGCTGGGCAGGGATGGTGTCACCGCTTTGGAGCGCACAGACCTCGGGATGCAGCCAGTGCCGAGTGCTGGTGTCTGCCCCTGCCAGCTCAGCACTCCCAGCCTCCTCCAGCTGCACGGGAGCAGTCTGGCAGGCATTATTTTTTTCCATTTTTTTTTTAATCTCTTCCTCTTTCTTTCTGGAACCCTGTACAGCAAGAGCATAGCAGGGATCCCAGGGGGTTTGCTGCTATCCAGAGAAGATGCCTTGTTCTCTGCCAGATCTTGTGCTGGGGAAGGCTGGAGGAAATCCATTCTGCAACATTTCTGCTGGGGCTGTTGGCAAGAGCCCTGCAATATGCAGCAGCCACTGGCCAGGCTGGTCCCTCTGAAAAAAAGAGGACTGAAGAGGTCAGAGCATGGCTGTGACCTGCCTGACCTCTGCTCCCTCCCCTCTTTACTGCAGATTTGCCTTTTGTTGAGCCCAAAGAGCCTCCTGCCAAACCAGCACTCCTCTGGGGCCGTGACCTGATGCTGCAACAGGCACTGAAGCCTTTCCCTGGGGCATTTCCGTGCTGCCCTGTGCAGCACCAACACAAACTATTTGCATTTCTAACAGCCTTAAGTCAGCCTGAACCACCCAGGGGTTCCTTCTGTCCCCATGAGAAAGGGTCTGACTGATGCATGTGTTAATCTCAAAACCAAACGCTTCCACATTGTTTTTACTAAATATAGGAGCAGTGTCTGCTGCAGGGCACTGCCAGCAGCCCTCCGCAGGGTCACAGTCCTACATCCAAGAGGAGTTTATCAGCCCCAGCCAAAGGGGAAAGGGGCTCAAGTTCAGTGCTCTCTGTTTGCAGATGTGAGCTGCAGTCAGTCGAGTTTTCAAGGTCTCATTCCCTGTCATTTGCAGAGGGCTGAGCCTGGAAATGTGAAATGGGACTCTTGTGGGATGAGCATCTCAGCCCAGAACTGTACGTTGGATGTTCTGCTTATCTCCCGCTGGCACAGATGCTATTTCACCCTCCTGTGGGGTAACTGATACAGAGGATTGAGGAAGAAACTGCAACTTCTCGTTGAGTCGCATCTTGATCAATCCAGCTCTGCAGGAAGTGTCATTTCCCACAGACGCGCAAGCGTACAGGCACTGCTGATGAAATTTGTGAGGTCAGGCAGTCATTTCCTCCTAATTACAGCTCCAGGAATGACTAATGTTTAGCTGAGACCCTGGTGACTTTGTGCTTTGGTGCAGTTTTCATTTAAGCGAAATACAAGTATGTCAAAATGAGCACAGGATCTGGATTTTTCCTTCTGGTTATTTTGGTTGTACAGATGCCATGTGGGACTTGTATAACAAATGTGGGGTTATTTGGTGACGGTCAGTGAATGAAAAGATCCGGAGCCCCAAACTGTCATGCAAAAAGCTTCTGTTAGAAACCTTCATGTTGCCAGAAGTGTCTTGTGGCAGATGCTTTTTCCAGCGACTGGACGAGCCTCCCAGGCCACAGTCTCCTGAACAAAGTGTCCTATCTTCCCCTTCAGAAAAAACATAATTCTCCATTTTAAAACTCATGGTGTGATTCCTTCTGTGGAAGCCAACTCCAGGGCTGCACAACCCCCAAGGTTACAAACCTTGTCATGCAGAAACTGTCATGGCATCCTCTGCCAATGGAGAGAGTCAGAGCCAAGAAGCAGAGGGTGGGTGAGTGATGGAAGAGCTGCTTGAAAGTGTTGCTGCAAGTGAGAGCCTGTGCCCTGCCTTGGCTGGCTCCCTGCGTTGGGTTTGGGATATCCAGGCCACGTAGTTCTGCCACCACTCTGCTGGAAACAGGTCCCTGAGGGGACCTCAGAGGCTGAGCTGAAGCTTCCTAGCCTGGAAGGTGCTTGCATCCCTAAATAATTTATGAGCACGAGAACTTGAGCAGCTGTCACTGGTTGGGTCTCTGGTGCTGCACTTATGGCTGGCCACATCCAGCCTTGGGTTTGGTGCTGCTGCAAATGGACCTCCAAAATGAAACAGCTGATCTGCAGGGCAGGGAGGGCGCAAGGACTGCCTGGGAGGCTGTCTTCAGCTTCAAACACCAGAGGAAGGGATGAAAAAAAAATATAAATAGCAAATAAGAACTTCAACTGATTTACCGGTCAGACAAAGCACCTGACCAATTTGTGTGCTCCTGTCTGTGTCTCTGAGCCTGGAAGTGCAAACTCTGAGTCTGTGGGGGCTCAGCACAGAGCTGCCAGTGCTGGATGTGCCCTTCATCTCTGCCGAGCACAGGGGCTGCCTCACCCCTCACAGGGCTGTGGCAATGCTGGCAGGGTCCTGTCTCCTCTGGGTCATTCCCTCAAACATACAGCCTGGACAAAGTGGCATTTCCCAATAGCACATGGATCAAACTTTTCCTAGTTGCACTTGAAATTGTAATTGTTACCTTTATTTATGTTGTTTTATTTAATACAAAATAGGTCTGGACCTTTTGAATCCTAGCTGCAGATTTTTTTACAAAGTAAGGGGGAGGGAAGAGCATTGCTTGAACATCACTTCCAGGGCAAAACGGGTTTGTCTCTTCTTGGGAGAGGTTGTCTTATCCCAATTTGAGCATATCAAGAGACAGTATGGGTAGGAGACCCTTCCAGCTCCTCTGATTTCCCTCACTCCTTTTTCAGCCTCTGAAGAGATGAGATCCACCTGGCAAGGCAAGGCTGGTCGCAGCCCACTCCAGGCCCTGTATGAGAGTGACCAGGTAAGGGGACAGGGACAGAGAAGTGGTGGGGCAAAGATCAAGTGGAGCACTGAGTGCTAACCCTTTCTTGCACTCCTCTGGTGTGTGGGGCATTGGGCCAGGTCCAGCCACCCCCAGGGTCCTTGCAGCTGAAGGGTCCTCTGGCTGTGTCTAAAAGAGAAGACCACACTGCCTGGAGGTGTAGCTTGATAAACACTGCTTATGGCCCTTGTTACCAGTGGGTTGAGCCATAGCTGGGCAAACCTGGGAGACTTTGCCATCTGAACATTTCAAAGCCAACTCTCTGCCATCATAGCTGGCAAGAGCTTCATTGCTGCCCTTCCTGAACTGATAATTGACAGATATTTCTGTGTTAGCTGCTACATATACATGCACACACTTAGCTATGTGCACATATATATGTTTTCATAGATACAGCTGGGCTCAGCCATGGGGGATTTATAATCCTGGAATATCTCAGGCCTCCCCATCGCTCTGAGCTGTGCCAGCTATACCTGCTGAGAAATGAGCAGCCAGGCACATCCTGGGCAAAGGATCACTCCCCTCCAGGTGGGCTTAGTGGGTCCCTCCCTCTGCAGGAATTAGGGAAGGTGTCCTGCTTGCCCTTCACAGTGGGGCTTGTGGGCAGAGCTGTAAAAAGTCTTTGTTTCTTTTTGCTTCATTTCCCCCTGGGCAGGCAGTTTTCCCCTAATTCAGCCACACTTCCCTTTGCAGAGGGATCTTCACCCACAACTTCCCTGCAGGAAGGCCTGTGGGAAACCACCCTCCAACGGGTGCCATGCCACGTGCCCCAGCCACCAAATGTGCCCTGCATCTCGCCGTGTCCATGGGGCTGTCATCTGCTGCAGCCCCCAGGAGCAGAGGGCAATGCTGGTGGGCCCTCAGTGGGCTGCCATCCCTGCTGCCTCCCCAGTGCCCGTGGGCAGTGCCCCATGCAGCCAGAGTCAGCTCTTCCCCTATGTGTTGCTTTGTGTCACTGTCTAGGTTGATGCTCTTATGTCTGTAAGCAGCCAGAGTACATTTGTTCTCTGAAAAATTACAAATATGGACTCCCTAGGCCATGATGCCAGCAAACCCTGATGCTGCTGGAATGTCATGGTGCTATTTCCTTAAAAGTGATACTTAATTTCCCTGGCTTTTAAAGAGAAAGAAATGAAGGGAGCAATTTTGCTCTGAAATAACTGCAAGACATGCATTTATTTCGGTGGGCGGCTGCTGAAAAGTAGTCACATTTATTTGTTGCCATGCCTGCAGACAGTGTCTGTCTGTCTGTCTCTTTGGTCTAATAGTTTTGGATTATGCAAGTGCAGGGAAAAACACCTGAAAAAATCACATTATTAAAATGCCTCTTTTTCTAAACCCTTACAAAAATGGTTTTCCAATTCTGAAAGCTGACAGGGAAGCTCCAAACAAAAGAAATCTCTACTGAAAGGTTTGGCTGTGTTGCAAGGCAGCATGAGAATGCTTCTTCAGCTGTGGTTATCACCTCCCTAGGTGCTGTATTTTTTTTGTAGCCTAGTAGCCAACAATGTCAGAGTATACCTTGCTGGCAGTTGGCATCTGTTTACCTGAATTTTGTTCATTTTGGCATTTTCCCTTATCATGTCCCTGTTGGAAGGAGTAAGGATGGGATGCTTTCTCCTGTCCCTGTCTCACATTACTGCCCATACAGGTTCTTGGAGAAAGTGGTCACTAATGTGACCTGGACAAGGTTATTTCCTTTGTGGAAGTAACATCCAACAGAGTCTTGAGAGTGGTTCATCCCTTGCAGAAGGAGCTGTTTGCCCAGATGTTAGTGTCTCTCTGAAGATGTCAGATCTGCTGGATCATCCACAGGATGGACACTTTGTCTTAGTGTCCCAGCTCCTGGCTGGAGCTTTACAAGCCTGTACAACTGTCCCTACAAACACCTCACTAGCCCCCAGCGAGCAGTGAGGAGCACCTGAAGCCTGGCCAAGGGTGTCCTTTAGCATGCAAGGGTGTCCGTGTAGGCAGCAAGGCCTTCCCTTGCCCTTCATCTGGAGCTTACCACATCTGTGCAACTGCAGAGCTGTTTGCTGTGGCACCCTCTGACCTGGGAGGACTGTCTTTACAATCCCAAAGTGGGAGCCACCGTGATGCTGGGAGGTGGTGGTCACTGCATGGTGTGAAAGCCACAGCTCTGCGGGGTCAGGGCCACCCCAGTTAGCGGGTGCTTGGTGCTGCCATCCCCAGACGAGACTGTTGGATGTTCCCAGCAATGAGGAACACGAAATTTCCCAACCCTTGTGAGCAAAATAGGGACACAGTGGGCAGGAGGAGGAGGGGACCTTCCCCTTCTGACTTCCTGGAAATGGTTTCCTTCCCCAGATGTTCTAATGACATTTTGGAATTTCTGACAAAAAGCATGACAGGAGAGGTCACGTCCCCAGATCTGTAAGGGGGTTTCAGCTGGGTCAGGGGTTAAGGGACTCTGGGCTTCTGGTAAGCCAGTGCAGCAGCTGCCAGTTCTTGATGTGAGAGTCAGAAAGGTTAAAGGACCATGTGTTGGTTCCTTGTCCCTGCGGCCACAGGAAACTGTGACCAGAGCTGAGGCATTGGACTGGCCTGTGTGGAAGAAGTCCCTCAGGAGAAGGAACCCAAAGCTCTCAGGAAGGGCCCCAGCACTACCTGCTCAGCCCCTTGCTCCTGTCCATCATACCTGCCACCCCACCTCATCTCCAGCTCCCCTCCTGGTCACCAGGGTTTGATCATCAGCGTTACAGACCATTTCCATTTGCCTTTCCTTGGCAGAACACCCAGGCCATTTCCATCCAGCATGTCCAAATGTTCTGCCACGTTTCTGCCCTTGGCTGGGTGTTCACAGCAAGCACATGTGTGTGGGTGTCAGTGTGAGGCAGCGATGCCCCATAGCAGCAGGAGTGTGCAGAGCCCTGTGCCAGCAAACAGGCTGTGCTTTCTGCCCCTGGGGCCATACATCCCCCCCCGGCTGGTGTGAGGGGTAAGCACGTTAGCCCAGTGTGTGTGTCTGCTTTTAAAAAAGTGCTCTGTTATTGACCTCTTTGCACCACCCTTTGATTTTTCTCCTCATCTAGCTCCTCATCATATTTTGTCCTTTCTTTTGATGCCAGCCCATCCAAGGATTAAGTGCACCAAATCAAGATGTGTTCAAAGGGAGTGCTGTCTCCAAAATCCCACATGGGTGACCGACCAACTCAGTAAAGGGGAGACAGTGGGGACAGCTGTGGGACAAGTGTTGTGTGTAGGCCACAGTCAGCTTGGGCAAGCTGGTGACGGTCTCTGTTGGGTTTTTTCTCCCCAGTTTGAGCAGTCGTCCCTGCAGGCCGTTCACCAGCAGAGACGGGAGATGCTGAGCAACGTCTGCGGCCGTTACACCCGCAAGCGGCGTCTCCTGCAGCCGGACGACTTGCGGCACTTGGTGGTGGACGACACGCACGGGCTGCTCTACTGCTACGTGCCCAAAGTGGCCTGCACTAACTGGAAGCGGGTGATGATGGTCCTGACGGGGCAAGGCAAGTACCGGGACCCCCTGGAAATCCCCGCCCACGAGGCGCACGTGCCCTCCAACCTGCGCAGCCTGTCCGAGTACAGCGTTCCCGAGATCAACGCCCGCCTGCGCAGCTACCTCAAGTTCGTCTTCGTGCGGGAGCCCTTGGAGCGGCTGGTCTCGGCCTATCGCAACAAGTTCACGCTCAGCTACAACACGGCCTTCCACAAGCGCTACGGCACCAAGATCATCCGGCGGCACCGGCGGGAGCCCAGCGACCGGGCCCTGGAGCGCGGGGACGACGTGCGCTTCGAGGAGTTCGTGTACTACCTGCTGGACCCACGGACGCAGCAGGAGGAGCCTTTCAACGAGCACTGGGAGCGGGTGCACTCGCTCTGCCACCCCTGCATCATCCACTACGACGTGGTGGGCAAGTACGAGACCTTGGCCCAAGATGCCAACTACATCCTGCAGCTGGTGGGGGCCGACACGAGCGTCAAGTTCCCGGCTTCTTCCAAGACCACCAGGACAACGGACGGCATGACAGCCCAGTTCTTCCAGGACATTAGCCCCTTCTACCAAAGGAGACTCTTTAATTTATACAAAATGGACTACTTGCTATTCAATTACTCCATCCCCTCGTACCTCCGCATCCGGTGAGGCAGGGGCTGCAGGGGAAGAGGCGAGGGAGAGCTGGATAACTCTCACCGTGCCACAATTCCTCTCCTCCTGCCTTGAGCTCATCTCTTGGTTGATTTCTTCCCTGTGCCCTTTTATTAGGGTCTGCTCCACCTCCTGATGCCTTGGTCATGCATGCTCTGGAGGAAGAACACTTCTCAATACACTGGGGTTGGAGATTTTCCTTCCCTTTCTCTCCCAGCCTTCAATATCTACAGGGAGTGGTGGTGGGACTGGACACTTCTTACCTTGGTTGGGGACTTTCTTGTAACTAAGAGACTCCTCTGTAGATCCAAATCTTGGGAAGGCTCCATTTTTGGGCAGGATCCCTTCAGGTCTTTCTCCTCCCTACTGGGCCGTCTGGGGGCAGACATGGAGTCTCAGGGGTCAGAGTGGAGTGTATCAGAGACTTGCATAGAGCCAGAAATAAAGCAATAATTTAATGTAACTTTTTCCTTTTATTTAAAATTGCTCCCGCTTTTTCTCTTTGTCTAGTTCTCCTCTGTCCTTCATGCCATCCCCTACTGAGGGGGATATAACACACAGAGGTGTCTTACTCTGACCACATTTTTATCCCTGGCGGGATTTTTTGTTTCTCTCCTTCCATGTGTTCTCAGTTGGGGTGCAAAATACTCCAAAGATAGAGAGGAAAGGCTTGCAGCGGGTCCTTAGTCTTTCTCCTGAACTACCACAGCAGAGTGCTCAGTGTCTCTGTGTGCATGTCTCTGGATTTCTGGTCAAATCCATTAAATCCAGGCCCCACACCTCCCATTTTTTCGAAAGCAGGTGACAACAGCTGTAAAGCCATGCAGGCAGCATTGGTGCAGGTGTCTGCTCTGATGAAATAACTTCATCCACCATGTCCTGCCCATGGCCCAGCTGCTCAGACAAGGCCCTGCTGGCAGTGCTGGCTTCTCTTCCCATGGCAGCATGGGCTGCTCCTGTGTGCAGCCCCTTTACAAAAGTTATAAAGTGTTCGGGGGAACGCTGGGCTGGGATGTGGGTGATTGCTGTGGCAATGGAGAAGTAATGTTGGACTGAGAAAAGTCTGTGTGTGTGTATGTTTGTGTGTGTAAGAGAGAGAGAGGAAAAAAACTGAGGATAAAAACAGGGAGAGACATACCTAGAGGGAAACAGTCCTTTTCCTGGTTGCCTTTGGATAATCATTCCTTGGAGAAAAAACAGGGAGGAGGGAGTAAAACACAAAAGAAAATGACAAACTGAGCCCTAGGATTTTAAATAAAAGCCAGTCCATATTTCAGTCTTTCCTCTTTTCTGTTTGGCTTTGGCTTGCTGGCTGCCTTTGTAAATAAACACACTGGTAATAGATGCTGTAGAGTGTGTCTGCTGGCTTGGCTGCAAACACTTGACTTATTAGTGCAATACAATGGGAGGTTTTATAAAACCACAGTGTTCTCAGTATCTGTAAAAAATGGTGTTTCCATATAACAACTTTCAGCTGTTATATCTTAACCTTTTTCCTCTCTGCCTCTTGAGTGGCATCTATATGCTGACACTCCCTCCTTGCTTGCTCCATTGGAGATTGGCTTTAGCCAAGCAATGAAAAAGAGAAGTAAATGAAGCTGCTGGGGATCCTGGCAGTGTGACTGATTCTCCCAATCTGCACTGGAGATCTTGAGGAAATGGCCTTTCTCATGCTATCTTGGTATCTCCCTGTCTAGCTGAAACACAAAGCACAAAAACAGATTATATGATGCAACAAATTTCATCTGCAGCATTCAGGCCTGGAGTGCATTCCTCCTGCTTTCTCAGGAGTCTTGTGCTCCCTGCTTAGAGCTGCCTCTGTTTGGAAAAATCATTGTTCAAATCACTGCAAGATCTTTTCATCGCTTTTGGTCATGAATCATAATTTGGGGTCAGATGCAGGGTCATAAATGGATGGATTTTTGGATGGTTTTTTGTTTTTATTTTTCCTGAATACTGTTCCCTGCCAGTACCTCTAAAGAGCTCATAGCATAGTGAGTGGCAAAGACAGATACACTCACTCCCAGCTGTGCTGTCTGTGGGTGTTTAGACAATATCTGGCTGGCTGGGAGCTGCTTTGGGCTTTCTTTGGTGTGAGAGTGAGGGAACAGAAACCTCTGGGCTTTGTTCTTCAGCCAGGTGGTTTCTAGTCTTTCCTGCAACAGTGGCCATGGGGAGGTGGTCCCAGCTGTGAATGGCTGTTTGACTGGCAGCCTGTCCTGGCATCTTCATCAGACCTGACCCAGTCAACAGCCCAGCCACACACCAATGGAGCAAATGCAGCCCTGCAGCCTTGGTCGTGATCTTCTGAAAGCAGGACCCTGTAAAGGTGTGGTTCGGGTCATGTAGGACCTTTAGAAATGCCCACCTTTGGGCTGCTTCTATAAAATCCCAACAGACAACATCCCCAATCCAAACCGTTTAGGTCCTACCCTTGGCATCCTCTCTGCTTTCCAAAGGAAAACCTAAGCATGCAAACAGAAAAGGGGCACTTTGCATTTCTGAAGTGAACACTCTCAGCCTGGACTAGAGCATTTTGGGGACAGGAATCACTCAGCCTTTGCCAAAGCCGAATTGCTGGGACCAGGGTGTTCTGGGGCCAGCTCTGGAGTCAGGATGCTGCAGGGCTGGGATGCTGTGGGGTGGGGGTCAGGATGCTGTGGGATCAGATTGCTGTGGGGTAAGGATGCTGTGGGGTCAGAATGCTGTGGGATCAGATTGCTGTGGGATCAGGATGCTGCCGGGTCAGTATGCTGCGGGATCAGGATGCTGTGAGGTAAGGATGCTGTGGGGTCAGAATGCTGTGGGGTAAGGATGCTGTGGGGTCAGATTGCTGTGGGATCAGGATGCTGCACAGTCAGGATGCTGTGGGGTCAGGATGCTGTGGGATCAGGATGCTGTGGGGTCAGGATGCTATGGGGTAAGGATGCTGTGGGGTCAGGATGCTATGGGGTAAGGATGCTGCGGGGTCAGAATGCTGCGGGGTCAGAATGCTGCAGGGTCAGGATGCTATGGGGTAAGGATGCTATGGGGTAAGGATGCTGTGGGGTAAGGATGCTGCACAGTCAGGATGCTATGGGGTCAGGATGCTATGGGGTAAGGATGCTGTGGGGTCAGGATGCTGTGGGGTCAGGATGCTATGGGGTAAGGATGCTGCGGGGCCGGGGCTGGCAGCCGCCGCCCTCTCCGCAGGCACGGTCCGACCCTTCCCGGTGGGACGGGAGGCGCTGGAGGACGAGGAGGACGGAGCTCGGAGGACCCCGTGTGCCCGCTGATCCCAACTACAGGCGGTGCGATTCCCTGTTCGGCTGCTGGGAACAATTTCTCTGATGGCTGCTGGTTGGTTGGGCTTTTCAAATTGTTTCACTGCCACCCTTTTTCTTTTCAGAGAAGAAAATATCGAGGAGGCCTGGGCCATTCTAAAATGTAACTGAATTTGGTTCTCTCCTCCACTTGGAAGTCGGAATGTGGCAGTGGTTGATGTGCAGCCAGGGCATGACCTACAAGGGGATGCCCGGGGTCTGAACCCCAGGAGCAGGGCAGGGCATCACCCCCTCGGCCCTGTCCGATCAGCTCTCTCTGAGCAGGGAATGTGACCAGCAGAAGGTGCCAGCCCTGGCCTTGCTGAAGTGAGACCATGGTAATCATGGTAATCATGTCCCCCAGCCCCCTGAAAGGTTCCCATCCTGCCCTCAGGCTGCACAGCCTGGGGACAAGAGACTCTAAATAAGTCAGGTTGGTCCTGGAGTCTGGTCCAAGGCTGGGGAGCTGCTGGGGAGCTCTCTGAGCACCAGGGAAACAGGAAACAAGAACAGCCTCACTTTGATATGTTCATGTGTGCACAAATATGCAGTGAAAATAATGATTCTATTATAATGTATAATAGAATTACTGCTGGGTAATTCTATGTATTATATATTGAGTGATTACATTTTTATATGGTTATAATACTTAATAGACATTTGGCTTACATATGTCTACATTTGTGTATCTGTAGACCATCCCATGTTTTATATAAATACTCATATACTCCCAGCATAAAAGAGAGAGTACTCCCAGTGCAGAGTACCTGCACTGCTGAGCTTTGCCACAGTCCAGCGTGGCTCAGGAGTTAATGAAGAGCTGCCCCTTCCTCCAAGTGCCTCCGGCAGTTCCAGCCTTCTGAGTGTGCTGAGCCCTCTGCCTGTGCTCTGGGTTTGCTGTGCTGTGGAGCTCCTGGCCCCATCCCTCATGGCCCATGTGAAGCTGTTGAGTTTCTCCTTCCAGTGGGACAAAATGGAGCTTCAGTAATCAGGAGGTTTCCTTCCAGACTTTCCTGTGCACCACAGATTGGGTTGTTTACCAGCTGGAGGATTAAATAGACTGTCATTGAAGAGCAAAAAAAAAAAAGTGTGTTCAAGTGTTCAAGTATGTCTTGGAAGCAGTGTCTCCTTTGAAGGAGGCTTTTCAGACTTACTGTGTTTGCTGGCTGGCACTTTGCTTGTCCCTGGTAAGGAAGCTCCATCTCAGAGAGAGTTTCTGGAAAATTACTGTGTTAGGATGGAGGCAATGAGTGGAAGCAGTGGGGGGAGAAAAATAAATTATTTTACTTTTCCTGGAAACAAACCCGTGTTCCCACCTGCATCTAGAGATGGTGACAGCTCGTTCTTTGCCTGCAAAGAAAAACCCTTATGCACCCAGGAATGGGGGAACCCCCAACTGACCTTCCTCCCTAGTTCATCTGGGATCTCCCCAAGGCCCCAGCAGCCACCTCAGCACCCCAACACATGTGGTGCTCCAGGGCACCCATCCTCCCCAAACCCCAAACCCCACAGTGCTCTTCCTCAGCCTCATCCCACAACTGACATGAACCTGCGATTTGGTTTATTGGGGCACAGCTCGTGGCTGGTGTCAGGAGTGAGCCTACCTGCACTGCTAATACAGTGGGAAATAAAACCATGGGACAAAATAAAAAAAATGTTTCACTATCCACTACTGGAGTCGAGATGAGCTGGCTGATGGCTGCACAGGGTTCAAAAATAGCCAATCTCATTCTCTGCCAACACTCCCCATTTTCCTTTATTCCCTCTGAAGATTTCAGCAAGGCAAACCTTCCACAAGCATCTCACAGCATTGGATGGGTTTCTCAGTCCAGGACCAGCACTGAGCCCAGAGGAGCAGCTCAGCAGCCAAGGACTAAGGAGCACGATGAAAGAAGCCCTCTTCTTCCATCTCATTCTTTATTAATGTTGTTGCTTATTTGGGAGCTGTGAGGACTAAATACAAAGAGAAGTCATTGTCAGCTGAAACGGAGGTGCTGGTGTCTCTGGCAGGGTGGGTCCAGCCCCGTGACAAGCTGGGCACAGTAATGACACAGACCCAGCAGCAGAGAAGCCAGGCCCACTGCTGGCAGTGACTTCCCTGCTGGGTTAGACACAAATCCCTGTGAAATGTCCCCACCCTGTCTGGGCTCTGCCACCCACACAAGTCTGCTCTGCAACTGAAGTATGTAGAGGAAAAGGGAGTCAAACAACCAACCCCCTCCCCAAATCTCCTCCCTGGCCATGTTGCTCCAGCACAACACCACAGAGAGCATAAAACCAGGTAGGGCCTGCTGTGATGTATTGAAAATTCTTAGAAGCTGAAGAGCCTGCAGGTATTTAAGCATCAAATTTCTGCTTTTAAGGGGAGGGAAGGGGGAGGGTGCCCAGAGAACTCAGGGGCTTCTGGCCCTACTGGGATGGATGGGGCAACTGGTGCCAGGGGACAGAGCAGTGCTGCCCACTCACTGGAAGGGCTGGGGGAGCTTTCTTAGGGGAGCAAGTTCAGACAGAGTTACAGGAATGCTGATCCAAGTTGTGCTCCGGGGTTACATATAAGCCTTCTTAGCAAAGACCCTTTCTCATTTGCAAAGGAAGAAAAAAAGAGGAAAGAGAAGGAGTAAACAGGCTGAGCAGCCAAATAACTAGCCTCTAACTGCCCTTAAAAAAAAGGGAAAAAAAATCCCCTTTTATTGAAACCATTTCCTTTGGTTATATCATTTCTCTTGAGGCTGGAAGCAATTTTAAGTCTTAAGTGCATTCCCTGCACTAAGTCCACAGGGACAAGGCTGATGCTTGGCTGCCCACCAAGGGGTGCCCTGGAGAGCAGCAGGTCTTGCTGTGCCCTCTGTCATTTCCCCACACCACCTCTGAGCCCCAGAGCCTCCTGCAAGGGGGGAACCCCCAAGCCCAGCACAGGCAAGGAGCTACATGGGTCACCTTGGCACAGCTGAGTCCCACAAGTAGGACACAGATGGCACCCATTACGTGTTCCCATCCCTGTCCTCTGTCAACAGTGACAACCAGATTAAGCTGAGTTCTGCCCAGAAATCCCCCAGTGAAGGGACATGCCAGTGCCAGGGCTTTGCTGCAAGCACACAGCAGAGAAGCACCTGTGCACTGGGCACTGGGATTTGATGATGAGGACTGTGACTGGGATCCCTTGTACCAGTCACTGGCTCCAGTCTAGGTCTTTTGCAGGCTTGTAGGAGGCAGGGCCAAATCTGTGTTATTAAGAGAAAAGCAGAAGGAATTTCACGTGTTCAGGATCCTGTAGAAGGCTGGGGTGTCCCCAGCAGCTTGGCTTTAGCACCAGCCTTACCTGACTCACAAGACGGGCACAAGCACCAAGCTCCAGAGAGGACCAAGCTCACTCTGAGGTGGTGAGGACAATGCAGGAAGGAGGAGGAACCATGATGTGTTGAGGCAGGTGTTACTTGCCAGGACTGCTCAAGCCAGTGCCAAATTTGAGCTATTAAAGCAAAATAAAGCACTAAGCTCAAGTTATTAAAATATATACGTACACACCCTCTAAGGTGCCCTCAAACTGGGACTGGCAGATTTGCTTTTCCTACAGGCCCCCTCAGCTGCTGCTGCTGCAGTTGTCACCCCTGGGTGCCCTGGCCAAGCAGAGCTGGCAGCACAGAGGAAAAACAGTGACACCCGAGGCAGGGCAGCATGTGCTGAAACCTCCCTGCTGGGGAGCTGCCATGCACAGCCTCTCCAGCTCAGCAGCACCAGGCAATTCGTCCTTCATGACAAAGAAAAGAGGAAGCTTGGGAAAAGGGGAGGCTACAGCTCTTTTTTTCCAGGGAGTGCTTTTCCCCAGAGCTGCTCAGCTTTCACTGTTAGGGACCCTCAGCCATGTGTGGAACCCATGCAGGAGCTTCAGCTTTGCAGTGCCTCTGGGACACCAGAGCAGAGATGGGAGCAGGCACTCAACCCAGCTGAGATTTGAGTGTTTTAGAGCTGGCAGGTCCTTCAATAAGGCATCATGGGGATCCTGACCTCCCCTTTTCCTTTCTCCAGCATGAAGGCAGATAATTAATAAAGGTGAGGCCTAGTGACATTTTTCAAATGTTTGGTCCATGTTCTCATCTCCCGACTCTTCAGCATCTTATTATCTGGAGGACTCTATTGCTTCTTCAATTTCAGTGAGAACTGGCTGCTTCCAGCCCCAAAAGCCTCCCTGACATGTCCTTGGTAGCACCAGATTGCCACTCTGGACCAAGGACCTGAGGAGCCACTGGCCAAAGCCTCGTGCCTGATCATCACCCAGACCAACCAGGCAGCTCCTGGACTCATTGCAGAGCAGTTGTTAATGGTGGATGGTGACTGTGGGAGAGGCTTTAATTCTAACCTGAAACATTTGGGTGGCAAAACATTCTTGGTTAGGAAACACTGATTTTCCTGAAGCCCTATTAAAATTGTGTTGTCCAACCCTGAATGGATGAGAAAAAACCCAGAAGTTCTACCTGACAAGTTAGAGCTAAAAACAGGCAGAGTCTTGGAAAGAAAAAAGCAACCTCCAAATCCACAGCCTTACTCTTTTCTTTTTTTTTTTTACCCACTTTATTTATGTGTGTGTTTCTATAAACATTTCGATTACTGGACATTTCATAAACCGTAAAAACAAACCTTCCTGCCCTCAAAATGCAATCTAACCAGCTTTTTGGTCAGACACCAGCAATGCTGTCAGGGCAGGTAGGTGGTATCCCTAAATAACCTCCCACTGGGCATGAGCCAGCAGCACACTGCCTCAGATCCTGAGCCTCTGAGCCATGGAGACAAGACAAATTTAAAGACCTGGTTGCTCTGCTACTTTAGGAGCGGGAGAAAAGTGGGGTGAATAAAGAATTTCCCTTGGTGGAAAGTCAGGGTGTGATGGAGGGGCTGCAAGATCCAGATCAGAGGCAGTGACCTCGGCAGGCTTTGGGGCAGCCTCGGGGCTGTGTCAATGCTGGGGATTGAGACCACGGCCCAAATGCTCCTTCTTGAATTCCTTCCTTCCTTCCCAGAGGCCCAAATGTTCCTTGTTGCCTTGTTTGCCAGGTGCAGCAGTGAGCAGCGGGTGCTCACACCTTCCATCTGCTTTGCTCACGGGCAGGGCAGAGTTTGTGGGTGCTGACTCCTCGGGGCTGTAAGGCACAACGGGGAGGGCAGGGGGGTGTCGGGGTGGCAGGGGAGGCCCAGCCCAGCCGGGTGAGCCAGCACCGAGTGCCAGGCACCCCCGTGTCCTGGAGGGAAACACCGAGTGCCAGGCACCCCCGTGTCCCAGAGGGAAACACCGAGTGCCCCGTACCCCGGTGTCCCGGAGGGAAGCACGAGGGAAGAGAGCGGCACAGGCACTCTCAGTTGCCCAGGTTCATATCTGTGCCGTGGATGAGCCAAACCAGGCGGAAACAGATGGCCAGGAACCCAGTGCCCAGGAGATCACCCAGGGCAGTGAGGTAGGGGATGGAGAAATTATCTGGGTCCAGAGCCTTCCTCCACATCAGGCGCACAATCAGGTCGGCCACGTAGAGCAGGATCCCCACCTGGGAGAGCAAGACAGGAGGGCAGAGAGAAGGTAACACACAAACCCTGGGCTCAGAGCCACAGTGATGTGGCCATGGCCAGGGAAACAGAGCTCACAGGGATCACGGAGCCTTCCACCTTCCCCAGAGAGCTGGGGTTCCTCACTGGGATGGGATGGGATGGGATGGGATGGGATGGGATGGGATGGGATGGGATGGGATGGGATGGGGATGGGATGGGTGCAGCTGGCTCCTACCCTTTGGCATCACATAACCCACAGTGCCACAGCCCTCTGCTGCCAGCCACAAGTGCAGAGACCGTGCTTGAGCTGCTCATCAGCACTGCCTGCCCAAACCAGAGCCCGGCCACCAAAAAGCATCTCCCAAAGGTACAGTTCCTATTCCCATGCCTTGAATGGGAGTGCTCCCACTCATTCCACCAGATGAAGGGTTTTTGTGAATATGCAGGCAACCCCAAAGGACAAGTTCGTAGCCAGACTTTTTTCTCTTCATCCTTCCTTTTTCCGTTAAAAATTCAGATCATGTCTACTTTGTTTTTCCTAAAAGTCTCAGTGGACAACTGGAGTTTGAGGCAGTTTTTACATCAAAGATATCCCAAGCAGAACTGACATGTTAAGAAAAAAAAAATCTTTTTTTTTTTTTCATCTCAACAGTTTAAAAATCTTTGTTGTGATTTCTTTTAATTCTTATTTCATTCCCGATTCTGATAAACAGATGGCAGAAAAAAAAATACTTCAGTTAAAGATTAAAGACTATCTAGTTAATTGAATTAAGAAGGGAGAGAGAATTTGCACCCCACATCTGTGGTCCCTCCATGGGAGACCACAGCACATCACGAACCAAAGCCTGAGGCAGCATTTCTAAAGGTGAAAACTGCAAGCTGCGTTGGGAGAAAGGGAGGAGGAGAGATGGGGGAAATAAATTAAATAACAGAATCACAGAAACTAACGCTGGCTGGAAACTTGAGAGTTTTACACAGATCATTTGTCTTCCTTAATTCAGGATCAAATACATCCACATCTTTCCTGATGGAAAATTTGTTTAACTTGTGCTAAACAACCCTCAGATGGAGATGTCACACTTAAAGCAATCATCCCCATGGTTTTTTTTCCCCTCCCATTTTTGTTTTTACCAAGGCCTAACATAAATCTGCCCTTTTCCATTTGAAATCCATGATTTCATGTTTCCTCCCCTAATGACCACATAGCAAATGTTATTCTGTCCCTTCCTACAGAAATTTGGCAGTTTAAAGGCCGTTAACCAGACTTTTCTCAAGTCTCTCTACTGTGAACTAGCTAACCCCAGACCATTCAATCACTCCTCTGAGCTCATGTTTTCTGGGCCTCTGATCTTGGGCTTCCTCCAACTGACCCAAACTTTCCCTCCAATCCTTTTTCCTTCTGTCTTTCTTTATAAAGTAAAACAGAGGGGAGAAAAGGGCCAGGCTGAGTGTACCCTCCTCCACTGGCCTCCACAAGAATCTTTCAGGGTCAGTGGTGTTGCTGGGATGCTGCTCTTTATGCTGTCATTTACTCTTTGTTTTTTCATGCTTGGCTTTGGTTGAGGAGTTACCTCAATGCATAAAAAGAATAAATATTTTCCTTTAAACTGTGGCTGTGCTTCTGGGCTTGGGGCTGTGCAAAGGTTGAGAAAAACTGATTGTTTACACACACAAGGAATTCACCCTCAGACACAAGGCTGCTTGTAAGGCAAAGTGAGAGTCAGCCACCTCATCATGCAAATTAATGAATCACTCATTTAAAAGGGCACGTGAAGTCAGAGCCTCTGTGAGTTCAGGCAACAGCCACATGCATTTCTGAGTGCGAAAAATAAAATTTACAGGGCAGGAAAAGCAGCAAAAGAGAACAAGCAGAACAAATCAGATGATCTGCCTACCAGGAACTTTTGCTTTTGAAGATGAACTGCTCAGGGCCTGGGTTTTCTCTTTGTGTTTTGCCCACATGGCCCTGCCCAGAGGGATTCCCTAGGTCTTCACCATAAGGTCTGACAGTGGTTTCCAAAATGGGTGGGGAAACCTGCTGGCTGGAGTTCACTGCTTCTCACCTCGCTGGGGTGACTAGTGGCAGCCTGGAAGTACTTGGAGCTCAGAGACTCAAGGAGTGAACATTTTAAAGCAAGGTACTTCTTGCTAAGTGTGTCTCTGCACACTTATTGCAGCTCAGTGGATGCTGAGAACTTTTTCCTCACTCACCCTAAAGCACAGCTCTGCTCATGTGGGAAACTACAGCCTGGCAATTTGGGTGAAGTATTACTGGAGCTACAGAATGTACATGATTGTTGGCAGAAGCACATCTGAAATGGCAGGGAACAGAGGCTGCTGCTGAATGTTTTACTGTGACTCCTCTTTAACCTGGAGAATGCTGGTTTTATGTTATCTGATAGATTCCTTTTGGATGAGAGCTTGGGGTTTACCTGCAGCAAAGCAGCAGCCAAATAGAACATCACAAAGGTGAAGGACAGGGACGTGTGGCCTCCCTGCAGCAGATGGATGGTGTAGAGGAACACGAGGTGCCCGGGGATAACCAGGAGGAACAGGACCCGGGCTGACTTGGAATTCACCCCTGCAGAGCACAGAGACAGAAACAGGGGTAACAGCAGCTGGGGAGGGTGAGGGGAGGACAGGACACTGCATATTTTAATGCATAAACCCGGGGCTGCACCCTCCCACCAACCTCATTGCTAATGCCTTCTCTAGATCACACAAACATAGGAAGCATCTGCAGGATCAGCCCAGCAGCTTTGTCTAGCACTGAAACCATGCCAAAGGCTTTGTGCTCTGTGCTGATCCACTCTGATTCTTGCAAACATTCCTCTCAGCTGCTCTCTGCCTCCCACAACTTCTGCTCTGCCTCACTGCAGCAGATTTTCCCAGTTTATAGTTTAATCTAGCATTAACTCTCAACCTAACAGGGAAAAACAAGAGAACTCTGTAAAGACAACAGAACCTGTGGGAATCCAGGGCTTCCCTCTGGCTGCCCTGGAAGGTCTGGGACCCTGGCAGGGGGTCAGGACCCCCCTGTACAGAGCCCCCAGAGACACTGTCTCTGATCTCTGTCCATGGAAAAGAGTTTTCAATCTTACAGGATGAATTACAAGCTCTGAGTGTTTGATATAAGTAATGATTAAGTGTGGCACGGGTGCAAAAGTAAAATTTTAGGTTTCTAGATTAGGGGTTCAGAGGGGACAAGATGGAGGAAATTGGGTGTGCCTTGTCCTTTTCCTCCTTCTTCATGCCCTCCATGTTTCACTGTAGTGTTGGCATTTTTCTGTTGGTTTAGGCTGGGGACACACTGTTCAACGTAGGTGACAGATATTGGCACGTTATTGTAAATCCAGCACAAGTAGTTTCTGGTATTTAATGTTTGTAACATCCCACTGAGGGCAGAGCCCCACACGCTGCCCTGCAGGACAGAGCTGCGGCAGGGCAGCAGAACATGTTAGAGATAAACAGAATAAACAACCTTGAAACCAGCACAGATTAATTATGGCTTCTTCTTTGGCAATGGGGCAGAAAGACAGAGACTTTCTACAATCTCGGAATCATCAACACCTCAGATTCTGACAAGAACCAAAATTGAGTTTTGCTGATGCTTAAGTATTTCCAGTGCTGAAGATAGAGGAAATGCTGATTTTCAGCAAGATTATGGTCTATTCACTGCTCTGTCCACAGGTGATGGCTGTAGGCTGGCCATTAAAATGACTTTCTGTTAGATCAAATCTAAGATTCTTTTTCAATTACTTTCTTTAGAGCTCCCTGAAGGCCACTTCCTTTGCATGCCAGTGAGCAAATATGCCTTAAGCCTTTTTTTCATGCTGCCCACTGCAAGGATGTTTCCTCTCTGATCTGCATATTCTCTGAGGAAGGGGAAAGTTCTGCCTTTGAAACCCAGCTAGTCCTTCACCAGCCAGGCTTGGGAATGGAGCTCTCTGTGATGACAGACCTTGAGACATGGACACCAAGGGTTCAGTGTCTACCTGATGAGAAGAATGTAGTGCATGGGTTGGGCCAATTCTGCCTCATTTTGTATGGCAAAACCCCAGGCATGCTCCAGAAATGCAGGAATGTAGAAATTCGGCTAGCTTGGATGGCAACCAGATTCCCTCCAACACCTGTGAGGACAAAACACAGAACACCTGTAAATCACCTTCACCACAGCAGGAAACATCAGTCCAAAACCTAGCCTGAGGTGAGTGAATCTGCATTCACTGAGAGCAGCAGTGAGAGAAAGAGAAAACCTCATCCCTGCATCCCTAGGGGTGCTGCACTATTCACTTCGCAGGAACAGCTCCTAAAATTCACGAAGGCTCCAGTAATAGTACTCTTCTGACTGCTGGCTGAAAACATTTTCCCTTTCTCCCCAGCACTGGATGTAAATGCTACGTGGCCTCTGAAGATGATGTAATTGCACCTGGTTGGACACAGGCTGTGAGCAACACCTGGGGAAAGCAGTGCAGATGCTGCTCATGGACACTTCTTGGATTTACTCACTCAGAGAAATATTATTGTTCAAAAGACAACAAAACATCACAGAGAGTGATTATATGTCTGTCTGAAGGTACCTAACATACTTGTTAAATGAGAAGGAATCATGAGAATGAATTAGAACCCAAAAATGTTAGCCAATTAAAGTAAATTGATTCATTCCAGACTGATCAATTGTAGCAATCATGAAAAAGCAGCTACATTTTCCAGTAGGAAATAGAAGGATAATGATCTGTGGAGCAAACTTCCACCACCCTAAGTATTTTCAGGGTGGAAATGCCACAGAAAAGATAACAGTGAGCCAGATGCTACAGGCTTCTCATGCTTTCCCTTCCTTGGAGAAAAAAAATCATTATTAAATGTGAGATTTCGGGCTGTCTCACTGTAGCTGAAGATGGGACCTGAGCCATGCACTGCCACGCTTTGCACATGCAGAGTGAAGAGCTGCCTGTGCAAAGACACAGAGCTCTGCACAACTCTGCCAGCAGCTCTGCCAAACAGGTCACCTGTCCCCACAGACCCATGTCTGGGGCTGTCCTTGCTCAGCTAAATGGATGTTGACTTCCCAAGGAGGCTCCTTGACTAACCATGCTGGAAAGGCTTTGTCAGCAAGGCAGTTGTCTTTATGCAGATCCAGGAAGGTGGCAGCTGGGTGACACCCTCTGGCACTGCAACAGGACATCGTGCTTTGAGGGTGGCATGAGGCCCTAGGAACCCGGGTTTCCCTTGGAATGGGCTTGTCCTACAAGAATGTTACAATAGCAGAAAAATAAGCTAGTGGATCTTCAGTGATACCAGGATCCCCAGCAGTTTGTGCTGAGAGGTGTGTGTATACTGTGAATATAAGTATAAACATACACACAAAACACACACATATATATATATATATATATATATATATAAAAATCCAATTATATCCAATCCATGCATATAATCTTTCAGATACATACACATGTATAATCTAATTAGATTACTAGTTATCAACATTCTGTATAGGGGATGATTGCACCACACAAATTACTGAGTGGAGGGAAGGAAACAATGCAAAATGGATTTATTGTGACGTCCCAGTAGGTTTGATTTTTATGAAAAGTGTCAACGCAGCTCTCAGAGATGCTGTTAACCTTTTTGCACAGCTCTGTCCTCACTGCTATATTGCTCAAAACATAAGCAGGAACGTGATGGGGACCAGCAGCTTCACTTCCACTCATGATGGGAGCAGGGACCTGGACACTGATCTCTGTGTAGGGGCCATGGTGGATGCCAGAAGGCTTGGGAGGAAAGGGAGGTATAAATAAAAGCATGCACAGAACCCCCATGCCCAACCTACCATTAATGACAGGTGTGAAAACTGCCATGCCTTCAAAGTTTGGGTCAGTTACAGTTTTGTCCAGGATGAGCCCACCAATGCTGTTAAGGAAAGAACAGCAAATGAGGTTGGACCAATCTTTTCCCAGGGCAATTCCTACACTGAAAATAGCACACTGACATGGGTTACTGCATCTGCCCCATTGCCAGGGCTGGACTGTTCACCATGTACTCCTTTTACAGCTCAGTTTCCCCCTACAGAAAGCATTACAGATTTTGTTAACAGCATAATGAGTTCTGAAGGACCTCCTTGCCCACACCCAAGCAAAACTGGTAGTAGTGAGGAAAGCATTATCATCCTCCCACAAAGTTTTGTTACACTTCTATACTATACTTAGCAGGTTTTAAAAATTCTCTTCCAGATCTCAGCTGAAAGATGTAGCACAGGAAGAAGGAACTACCTGGCTCTACATTTACCAGTATTTTCTCTTTACAGCTGGATAAGAATGGGGTTGAAGCCTGACAATTTGTGATGATCATCATCTGTGTTTAGTTTCCCAGCTTTCACCCCTGTGGTGCCTGGATGTGTGAGCGAGACTTAGAATTATTTGCTTTTTCCAGTCCTTTGGGGGCTCCTTATCAGCTGTCTCACAAATAAGAGAGACAGACTGAAACCCTTTGGCACACTTTGTACCTCCTTTATACAGGACTGAGAAGGACCAGAGGCAATCTAAAAAACAAAAAAAACCTAAGAATCTTCTCTGGCAAGAGGTTATTTTGCAGAAGAAGGTGCTGCAGCAGGTGGCACACAGTACTTCAAAACTTTACAGAATCATAAGAAAGTCTGTTGGAGAGTCACCAATGGCTGGGAAGCTCTGGGCAAATACCCTCCTGCTGTCCCTGCCAGTGTCACCTTTGGTGGCCCTCTGAGTGAGCCCAGGGTGCCTCTGCAGTGTGCACACAGGGCTGGGAGCTGTGCCTCCTTTACCTGCTGATGCTCATGGCAACAATAACCGGCTGCCAGCCAGACTTCAGGACTTCGGCCAGGGAAGGACTTTGCTTGGCAATAGCAACCCAGAGAGGGATCATGACAATGAATACAGCACAGATCAGAGGAGAAAGGTACTTCACATCTGGCAAGGAAAAGAAATCTTGAATTAAATACCCGAAGCTTCACTGGTTGCCAAAATTGTAATGCACAAAGATGGGAAGAAATGCAGCAGGGCTTTTGCTCCAACCAAGTTATGTTAGAGGAAAAATCACATGAAGCATGATAGCCCCCACAAAACCACCTCATTCCACCACAGAAATCCATAATTAATCCCTGAAATTCACTGCTAGAGGATGCTGTTTGAAAATCAGCAGGATTCAAAGCAAGTTATATTTGAAGACGAACAACTCTCCAATTCCATCTCCAACTAAGAAAGACAAAAAGTTACAAAATTTCTGCCTTCAGGGTACAAATCAAACAGCAGGGCAAGAGGGAAACTCCTGTGTGGAAGCTGTATCCCATTTAGGGCAGACACCTCATACCTTCACCTAACACAAGAGGTGAGTAGGAAATACTTTAGGAGGCAAGCTGACAGAATTGCTGAGCAGCTGGTCTGCTCTATAGGAACAAATGTTCTCTGGCACGTATAATCCAGTTAAGATCTGGGATTTCTTTTGTGTGAGCTTGCATGTGTTTCCATTAGGTGCTTCTTCCATTCAGCAGAGGCATTGCCTTGGAGTGATCATTAAAAGCAAAGAAATTAAAAAATAAGTAGATGTGCAGCACTAAAAGAAAATAAACATGACTCAGAAGCATGAGAAACACCTTCGAGCAATGGGGCTGATGCCAACCCCCTTTTGATACAAAAATGCTTCTTCAACAAAGCTCTCCATCTGGTCTCTGAGCTGGGGCCAAAGGCAGTGGGATGTAAGGCTGGCTTTGCAGGTACCCTGGGAGATGAAGCAGCTCAAAGTGTGCATTTTTAAAAACACCATTGCCAGGGCCTTGGGCTACCTGGATGCGACAGCACTGACGTGATGGCATCTTCTGTGCTCATCAAAGGCTCTTACACAAAGAGGTGCAACTCTTCATCAGTGGCTTCAGTGGGCACTGAAATGCAGCTCCTCCTGGGAGTTAAGAGTTTTGTCAGTGCACTTTACCCTCTGGAGTCATCCAGGACAGGAGGGTTGTATGACAGACTTAGCTGCTGTACTGGATCTCTTACCCACACCACATGTTGTTTTGAGCAATTAATTCCTTCTTAAATAATGCAGGCAGAGAGCACAGGAGTTGATCAAACCTTATCAGAGCCCACAGAAAGGCTCCTGGTAGGATGAATGGTCTTCAGGCTCCACATTCCAGTTCTGCTACATTCTCTCACAGGCAGCCCATAAGCAAGCTGAAACCTTTTGGCACAGTTTGTATCTCCTTTATGCAGGACTGAGAAGGACCAGAGGCAATTTAAAAATTAGAATCTTCTCTGGCACGAGGATATCCTGCAGGAGAAGGTGCTGCATCAAGTGGCACACAGCACTTCAAACTTTACAGACTCATCAGTGTTTTTGAAGGATACATATACATTTTGGTAGGACCCAGAAGTTTTTAGAGTGTGACTTGTACCTCATTACACACTGGGCAGGGAAATGGATTTGTTCAAGCACCATCAGCAGTGCTACCCTTCTACCTGCTTCACTTCATGCTCCCAATGACTTGGTGTCTGTGTGCTGACTATTTTCCATCTCAAGAGGGTCTTTAAATTACTCTGGCAACTCCAGAAATGCTCTCTGGTCACAGCCATAGAGGTTATCATGTTGTTCTGCCCTGTGCTCCCTGGGAGATACTATCTGAGGCACAGCAACTGAAAGTGAGATTAGCTTTATAGAGGCAGATGCAATGGCATCATGGAAAAATCCTATTAAAAAAAAGCACCTCTGAAGCTCAAGGAGGACAGGATGGAAGCGAATCATAGGCCTCTCCCTGCAGTGTGTGCTCCTTCACTCCCTCACTTGTTCTTGCACATGGAATGAGTTATGCAAACTGAGAACAGCTGCCTCACTGCTTCTGCTCAGTCTGAAGGAACAGTTTGGGTTTCAAATGGAACTGAGTGTGCCGGATCTTTTTTTTTTCCCATTTCTGTTCTAGCTTAGGCTCACAGCAGACAGCCTAGCACTTAAAAAGCAACAGACATTTATCACCAATGTTTTGAACTTCTGAGGGTCCATCAGGTGCCCAAGCCTTTGGCAGCCAGCAGCACAGCTAACTCCAGACCACCATTCCTGCTCAGAGTCCTGCAGGCACAAACGCTGCAGATACTTCCCTCCAACTGAATATCTTGTTCATCCATGACTCTCCACGTGAGAGGATACAAGAATATCTTACTAGAGCCAAACCCCTGGAATTGCCTTGTGAAGAAGGACCTGCTATTACCCATGCACAGGAAGCAGTTTTGCTTGGCTAATGACAGATCGAGGAACAGAGTCAGTGTCACATATGTCAGCCTTCTGTTCCAAAGCTGCACAATACATGTTGGTCATTTCTTTGACAAATCCCAGTTGTGTTTACTAGGCTCTGCTTTCCAGTTTGTTACTAAAAGACAGTCTGGAAAAAACCTCTTTGGTCATTTTTCTACCCCAGTGGCATGACAGCCTCCATTCTGAAACATGCCAGAAATGCTGAGGCAGCCTGCAGTAATTTCCCAAGGATGTGTGAGCTCCTTTGCTGAGCTGCAGTTCCCTGCTGAACACTGTACCTATGTATTTGAAGAGTGTGCTGCTGATTCCTGCGAGGAGGGAAAGGGTTATCAAATCTCCCAGGCTCGCTGCTATGGGTGTGGCGACATTGTCTGGATTGATCCCAACTTTCCTTGCTCCAATGATCACACCAATCATCACCAGACCTAGAGAAGACACAGAGCAGGCATCAGAGAGAGCATTTGGCTGTGTTTTACCCCAGAGCTGCTGTTCTGGCTCCCAGAGGGACGTGGGGGTCTAAGAGAAGCAAGAAGCACGTTACCCACAACAGCACCACGCAGCTGGAGACTGGACACCCCCAGAAATTTGTCCTTTTGTTTTCACCAACCTGAAGTGCATGACTCTGTCCTTATAAACCGCACCAAGGGCCCAGAGGCACACAAGCGAATTCCAGGGATCAAAGCAGAATACCAGCAGGCAGCCCAAATGGAGAAGCTCCCCTCCTGAGCAGCCTAATCTTTGCTGCCTTGAAGCAGGACCAGGCACGAAGCACACTCATAGATAAGCACGCAGCAGGCATGCAGCAGCCTCTTGGTGCCATCCCCTCCTCTGGATTCCACAGCACAAAGATATTTTCCATATTAGACTGAAATTTCTCAAAGTTTGAATCACCAAGGAGCAACGAGCATCCTTACAGTAGCCTGCATTAGCCTTTCAGCCCAGCCACCAGACTGAGCCCTCATGCCCCAGAGCCTTTGGGGCTGCTTTAATTTGCACTGGATGAATATTGATGCTGTGAGCAGCTCCAGAGTCAAGGGGTCATGGTGGTGGCCCACATCTCTTCCCTTGTCCTCTGAGGTGCACCTGCAATATTGAGCTGCTTTCCAGCATTGCTAGGGAGAAGAGAGGTTTCGCTTGTCCAAGTAAGTTTAGGAGCACAAACCCCAACCCCTGATGAAGATGTGGGAATCCCTCAGCTGTCAGATCTCTCACAGGCCTCTGGAAGAAGCACCTGGAATAAGCCCTGGCCAGGCTCCACTGCTAAGTAGCAAAGGCAGCCTTGAGAATAAGACATAAGACATCCCTTCAAAGTCCTTCTGCAGCTGACAGACTGCACCAAAGGAAGCCCAAGAAATGCGGATTCAGCTCACAACCTCTCTGTGCCTGTCTGCACAGCCCCTCCAAAGCTGATCATGCACAGGAGCATCAGCTCTACCCCAAGAAATGCTACATATGCATCTTCCCTGATGCAACATCCCTAACACAAAAGCACATCCTCACACAACATGACACGTCCACAGCAGCCCTCCCAGACACCCACGCTCCCCTCCCCTCAGCACAGTTCATGCTGCTTCCCTCCCTGGCCATAAAAACAGCAGCTTGCCACCGTGCACACCCACACACAGGCTGCCTGTGACCGTGTCCAGGGAAAAAACTGATGTCAAACCTGAGACAGTACAGCAGCAAAGCCTCCCTGCACCACACCAAGCAGGGAGATTGTAGGGAAGAGTAATGAAAGCTGAGCTGCTGGTATTTAACAACTGCCTCATCCCACGTTTTTCATCAAAGGTATCTACAACCAGCCTTTGATTCCAGCTTCGGGATATGCAGTTGTTCTAACGTGTCCCTTTCATTTAGGAAACTTGCAGTATCCTTTGTGCCAGCTGCTCTATGCAGGTATCATGCTGCCCTCGTATGGCAGATCTACAAACTGGAGATCTTCAGGCCACACAGAGCAACTCCTGCTGTCCAGCCCACCACATTCCCCTGGAAGAGGAAGGGCCAGGGGAGAGGACTGCCAGCTCAGAGCAGGCAAACTGCAGGGCTGGCCACAGCCCTGCTCAGGGTTTGGGGTGACCCAAGCCCATCTCGAGCCCGGTCTGGATTTGTCTGCTAACAGATCCTCCATGCCCTGGGTGACGTTGTTTCACCCTCCCCTGGGAAAGGGCCGGTGTAGGTGGCTCATGTGACACCCAAGGGACACGGAGTGGGGGTGTCTGTACAGCCATGCACAGCTTGGGGCATTTTTCATGTGTCAGGTGAAGCACACTTTGATTGCTGCCTGTGGATGCCAGCGAGCCACAGATCATGGGAAGAGAAGCAAAGGCAGGATGCAGAGAGGATGAAAGCAGCAGACACAGCTCCCTGCATCCCTCCTCCCCCTGCCAGACCAGACCATGCCAGCTGGGCCTCCCTGGTGGAACAGGGACAGCTCATTCCCCACCTGAGTGCTGCCCGTTTGGTCTGAGGGACCAGAACCACTCACCAAGGGAAAGTGCAGCTATGAAGGCCGTGGTGACGCTGCTGGCACACAGCACAGCAGCCTGGCTCAGCTCCACAGAGCCCTTGGAGATGGCTCCCAGGATCACAGCAGCAACAGCAGCCAGCAGTCCCACCACGGTGGCCTGGACCTGGGGACCAAAGGACAGCTGGTGAGCACACATCTTCTCCTGGCAGCTCCACAGGGCTGCAGCACTGCCACACAGCTTGGAGGGCAGAGCCTGGCACAGATGCTGATTGTTTGAGGATTTAAACAGCATCCCTGCAAGGCTCCACTAGATCAGAAAAGAAATCCTGAGAAAGTTTGGAGAAAATCTCTGGGGGGCTGCAAAGGGCAGATAACACTCCAGCAAAAGACACTGCATCCATCAGCAGAGGAATAGCCCTGGTCAAGACAAAAGTGGGCTCCCCATCAGCTCTGCACTCCTGGGAGGCTTGGAGCTGTGCAGGGAGATAAGGGAAAGCACACAGACACATGCTGCCAGCCCTGAGGTCTTGCCATGTGCAAACTCTAGGCTGGCTCTGGATTTTAACAGGCAGAAGAATTGCCTTTACAAGAGGCAATTTCTCCCATCTCTCCCCTCCTGGCCAAGGCTGATTCCCACACACTGCCAGTAAATGACAGGCTTTATCCAGGGGCTGCTGTGAAACAGGGATTGTGCCACAGCTCCTGCTGCAAAAGGAGTTTTATTAGTTCAGTTTGTCCACAAAGGCAACGAATGTCTAGATGTGTTTTACAGCTAAACTACAAGCTCTGGGGCCACAAAGAGCTTTATTGGAGGTCAAGTCCTGGCTCTGCTTGGCTGTGTTGAGAATACCTGCCCCAAATCACCAGCCATGCATTCAGCACTGCTGGAACAGATGCTGCTGGTCTGCAACACAGCAAGAAAAAAGGGACTTTTTCATCTCCCAGCTGAAGTGACTCACCTGGATAAGGGCTAAATTGCAGGTGGCCATTTTCCATTGTTTCTGGGCATCATCCATCTGCCCAGTGTTAGCCTAGGAGTAAAGAAAGACACTCTGAAAAGCTGTTTCTGTGGTACAGGTGGCTGCTGAAGACAGTTTCACCTGCTCCCTGGGGGAAAGGGGCTGTCAGAGAGAGGCAAATGCAGGTCACGATGTCCCACCCTTCCCTGCACTTCCTTCTTGACACTCTTCCACCAGCCCAGTGTCCCAGGGGCATCAGAGGCTCACACTGGAGGTGCAGAGATGTTGCAGGGCACCCAGGTAGAAGTGAAGTGGGCATATCCACCACAGCCCACACAGACAAAAAGCTGAACAAATTAAACTATTTTTCGTCCTTTGTTCCCCCTAAATTGATCTCGTAAGGTACAATTTCTCCTGAGGCATAATGAAAAAAAAGACCAAGGTAAACAAAATTGCTTAGGGAGATAGAAGAGATCAAACAGAGAGCAGCAAAAGCTGCTGCAGGTTCCAAGAAGCCTCAGTCTGCTCCCCCCAAGGTAGGATTGCTGGGAAGCCCTCAAGGATCAATACCCACAGAAAAGCAATCCAGTACTGAAGCTGACAGCTGTGGAGCCCTGGCTTTGTCTCCTTCATGTGTCACAGGGCCCCAAATATCAGCAAATGGCCACCCAGGGATTAATTCACCTTCAAAGTGCAGATGGAAGTTCTCTGTTCCAGTTACAAAATGAGGGCAAACACATTATTTTAATGCTCACACCCCACTAGTTTCTAGTTAGCAGAAAAGGGCATCTCTCATACACAGTGTGATTACATAAATGAAGAATCTCCTGATGTCTCCTGCTAATCACCCCCCTCCCAGCACTCCCCACCAGCCTGTTAACACTCACAGCAGTGGAGAGCCTGGATGCCAGTGTCATCTCCAGATTACCCTTCAGGCCAACCAGGGCAGGAACCAGGATGAACACTTCTGTAATTGTCCTGAACACGTCCCAGTGCTGCAAGGAGACAAAGCAATGGCCTCAGTTTGTGGTGCTGCCCAGCCCAGGGCAGCAGGTTCTTGTCTCACCACCTCCAGGTGCCCTGTGCACACAGGGGCAGATGCTGCCCGGATGCATTTTATGTTTTGCATTTTGGGAAGGAAGGAAGGAATTTTCAGCTTGCAGTATTCTTTCTCATCTCATGCACAACAAAGCACTACCCTAAAGAGGAAGGAGCTTTCCTTCTAGGGGCAACAGAAGATTTTGGAAACCCACCACTTAAAACCTGCCTTTAGCATCAGCCAAGACCAACATTAAAAGTAATTAAGGTTCACAAGGCAAATTTAATAGACCATGTTCTCCATCCTTTGCACTGACCCTAGAACCTCTGTGATTAGAACCTCTGTGACTAGAACCTAGGAAGCTCTACTGCTAACCAAACTCTTAAGAACAAAAACAAAGATCTGGAAAATGATCCCACAACAAGAAGCTGTGTCTGTCTTTTCTTACCAAACTTCTAGTCAAGCATCTAAGACTGGTGAGGGGAGGGAATGAGATTTTTGCATCTCTTCTCCACAGGCAGTTCCTAAATCTTCCTGTTACCAAGCACAATTTCAGTACAGCTGGAAAAATGTTTTGAATTAAGATATCTCATAAGCCAGACTGCTGGGCCAATACCTTGACTGTTGTTGCTCCTCTGAAGCTGAACTGTACAAAGCTGTTGAACCAGCTGCAATGCCAGAGACAATGTGAAAACGTAAGAAACTTTTTTAACTGACATGTGTTCTCTAATTTTTGTACCATACAGTGCCTAGGAATAGAATTCATTTCTCCTCCGTGCATTCAAGGGTGCTGGCAAAGCCCTGCTGTAGCCAGAGAGGTTTAAATCAGGATGAAATCACAGAATGGGGCCACTCAGCATGAAGGAAAAGTAATGAGCCCAGCATCCAAGAGCAGAATTCAAGGAAAAAAGGGTGGCTGCAATGAGTCAGATCAAAGGCCCATCTAACCCATCCTTAGCTCTGCCAATAATCCAATTTGGGTGTATAAAACAAGAAGCTACAAAAATGACAAGTAAATAGGATAATTCTCCTGTGTATTTTCCAGACTATGACTATGTGCCACAGGGTACTGAACTGGTGGGGGTTTGCTGCACAATTCCCAGTGTTGAAAGGCTTTCTCTTTCAGGTCCTCATCCAAACTCCCCCTCCAACCCATGTGCCATCCTGTGGCAAAGATTTCCATCCTTTAGCTGCATATCATGTGAAGGATTTGTTTGTTCTTTCCAACTTGTCACTGGCTACTACCCACTGTGGTCCTGAATTCTGGCACTAGAGGACAAAACAAACCAGCACATCCTTACCCACCTTTTTCACATCCACTGGGATTCTATAAACCTGAATATCCAGGTGGTTGGACAGACACAAATGGTGACACATTCGGCTGCCAGGCTGTTAGGAAACACACAGAGGGTGTAACAGCTTGGTGTTTTTCTCTGGCTGTGCCATGGGAAGCTGCAGGAAGCTGTGGGAAGGTGGTGGCGTCTGTCTGCTGGGAATTCATCACAGCTTCCTTCTCAGTCAGGATGAATGAAACTGGGGCTGAGCCAGTCCTGAGCATGTGGTGCAAGGCACCTCAGAAGTGCAGATAACAGGCAAAATGTTATTATATATATAAAAACGGCACTTTTCCTGGCAGTGGTGGAAACAGGCACATTTCAAAATGTTCAAGGTGTGTTACTGTTGCATAAACAACCAACAACACAAAAATTGTCCCCTTATTTGACACACTACAGTTTTGTTTAAATCTGTTAATGTGGAACTTAAATACCTGAGAAAATCTGGGGGTGGACATCTCTTTTAAAGATTCATATTCCCCCCTCTCCTCTCTCTTTAATTAAGAATAAAGATCCAAACACATCTTTGATATCTTCCAAAGAAAGAGGAGGAAACACAGACTTTACAGTCACAATGTAAAACTCCCCAATCATTTAAAGCACAGAGGCATGCAGAAAATTCATGCTTAAGACCTTGCATATTTTGCACATAAAAAGACATAAATAGAAAGCAACAGGAAAATTCAACTGTTTGTATTTTCTGTGCATGCCACCTTTGGGAAATATGACTTTGGTATACCTAGGTACAGTCCAATCCTTGTGACAGAATAGATTTTTCAGGTTTCAAGCCATGAGAAGTTTCAGCATATGAGGTATTATTTTTTTGGGACTTTGCCTTACATATAATTACATCTGAAAGCTCTGAACAATTAATAATCACACAACTGTACTAATTAAAAAAAGCTGACTTAATTGCCTCTATTTGAGTCTCATTAGTGACTCACCTAGAGCCTAAGGAAAGATTCTTAATGATTTATACCACAAGAGCCAGGACTTCATTGTGTTAGTGACTGCAGAAATACAGAATAAACAGATGATGCCTGTGCCATCAGCCTGCAGGACTGCCAGCTGGAGGAGTGGTGAGTGGGGCAGTTTGGAGCCATGCAGGCAAGGAGATGCCTGGATGAAGACACCTGGACAAAGCCTAGAAATGTCTCTGTCCTTTGAGATGAAAACTGGCCTAGAGAAGAACAAAAACATTCCATGCAGCATTGCAAACCCACACAGGCAGATACAGAGCCAGAGAGGGACCCTTTCCCACTTCACATTTTCATAATGGAGTTTCAGCCCTAGAACTCGGCTCTGAAGAAGTTTGGTTAATTCCATGTCCTACCCACGGCAGCTGGATCTGCTCGTGGGGTCCCTCAGAGGAAGAGAGGTTATCATGGATGCACTGAGCCAGCCCCCAGCCTCAGTGCAGCCCCCCAACCTCAGTGCAGCCCCCCAACCTCAGTGCTGGAGCTCCTCACACTCTCCTCACAGACCCAACCTGTCCTGTTGCCTCCCAAGGACATCCATCTCCCATGGCAGCAGCTCAGAAGCCTCAGGGGTTTTCCATTACTCTGAACAAGTCAACAGAAAGATCAAAATATCCTAGAGTACAAAATGCAAGCCAATTCAAAATCCTTTTCAAAGCTAATAATCTCATGGGCGTTTGTCAACAAAGAGATGTCTTATATCTGTGACTTTTATTTGGACTGTGTCCCACTCCAATGGTGTGGAAAGGGAAAAGTAAAGGGAAGCTTTCCTCCTGAATTCTCTGGTTTGAAATCTGATCAGCCAGCTTCAATATGATTCTTCACCTTACTGTACAAAAGTGGGCCAAACACTGGCAGGGCCCTGCAAGGTCTCCAGCAATGCCAGCCAGCCCAGAATTCAGATGGACCAGTGGGCCAAGGATCACTGGAACAGAGGCAAAAATATCCAGAAGGAAAAAGCCTGTGCTGTGCTATCAGCCCTGCAGAGAGTCTGCATCCCCTGAACACTCAGGAAGAGAAAATGGCAAACATCTACTTCTTTGGGCATCCTTTTCCTACAGCATGGGACACCCAGGTCTGAGCCTTGGAGTCAACTAGGCTAGATAAATCTGTTCTGTTGATTTTTCTTTTAAACAGCATTATGAACAGTTCTTGGTTACTCATCCCAGAGTAGATCAGAAACTGCTAAAATCCTGAGAAGTTTGATAGGATACAAATGAGTAATTTACACTTTGTTCTCTTTACAGCAATATGAGCCCTGCAAAAGACAGCATCAGCTGGACTCACAACACAGAACCAAGTTATTTCAAGATATTTTGTATGCATAAAAGAAGGGCAGCAGGATTAAACTCAGTATTATCTATGCTCTAGATACCATCCTTAAGCTTGCCCATATATCTCCCCGTCCAAGGAAGACACAGAGTTTCCTAAGAATGCTTTTCAGTCACTAGGGCAAAACATTCCTTAGCCAGAAGAACCACTAGAAAATGGGCAAACCACAGGCTCCTGGACTGGAAAAACCTGTAGTTTCAGTATGTGAGCCCTCATGCTTGGCAATATGAGTCTTATGGGACCTGGCCTCGAGCAAACAAATTTAGTGTCAGGTTTTAGTTGGACAGGACTGTGATTTTGTATCTCTCACACTTGCAGGAAGTTGAAAATAAACAGCTCAAAGACAAAGAAGCACCGAAGAACATCCCAAACGTTTAAAGGCTAAGATCTCTGCATTTTCCCAGCTACTGGTTTTGTTTTTAGCTGTGGGGTTGTTGGTGCCATGGTAGCTCACCTCACTAAGTGCCATTTGTGACTCTCAATGCACTGGGCTCCCTCCTCTGGGAGCTGAACCCATGGACTGACTGTTTATATTTCAATATACTTCACCAAATTATACACTTCCTGTGATTGTGGTTTACACCTGACCCCATTTCTATGAGTCAAGTGAGCAAATACTAGATTGCACATTGTTATTTAAAGGACAGTTGCAATGTATGCACGCATGGCCTGTGTTTCTCATCAGTTTGGATGCAGTTACATTTTTGGACACAGCTCAGTTCTTAGCAAGTGAATTGATTTCTTCTAGACAAAGACCTATTCACTCTAAGGTACAGAGTGGGTATGTGCTACGTCTTTCTCCTTCTTTGAGATAAATGCTAACTATCAACATAACATCTTGGGTAGTTTGAGAACTTCTGTAATGCTGCAAGACAGGTCTGTGCCTAAGCACTGCACCAAGTGGAGATGACAAACACAGCCCAGCAACAGCCTGTGCCACTCCAGTTAACCCTTCTTGGATATTCCTTGTGCTTTCTTTAGTTCGACTTCTCTGCCTTCTTTGTTTCTTCCAGTGCTAGAAAAAAACAAGCAAGGTATTGTCTTTCCAAACATTCATGTATCCATATTTAGCTCATCCTGTGGTATTAATGCCAGAGAATCCAATGTACTCCAGTGAGCTCAGAGTGTAGGATATATCCTTGGGAAACTCTGCCAGCCTTTTGATTTGTAAATATACCAGCATTTGTAAATCTACCAGATCAAATTTTGCATTTCTATTTGTGCCACCAGTATAAAGAAAAACGGATGGGATAGATCCTGGTTGGGGCACAATGGTGTAAATGCTGCAGCACTCCCCAGCAGTCAGGGGAAGTTATTCTAAATTTATACCCACCTCAGAGACTGCCCAAGAAGCACTCAGTTTGTAGGTAATGCTAATCATTTTATGGTGGCATGCCTCTCATCACAGTATCTAAATGCTTTCTAGACCAAAGATTATATTAGGTTGTTAGCAAAGACCTGAAAGCATGAACTTGCCTCTAAGTAAAACAGGTATTTAATAACAACCCTGACCTAGATCTCCTTATCAGCAATTTTTGAAGAAATGATATCATGCAACAGGGGAATATGCTGCAGCCTGATCCAGTTGCTTCACAGGAGTCTTTACCAAAAAGTGTTTAGCTCCACAGAGAAAAGGGAGCACCCAGTCTAACATACCCACCAAAGTGCTAGGCAGCCATCTGAAAACCAGTATCCCACATCACAAGGAACCCAGCCACTGATCTGAAGGAGATGGATGGTGTCCCTCCAGCACAGAACAAGCCCACAGCCATACTGCTGTCTGGCTGCTAGGACCACACTCATTAAAAACAAACAAGCTCAAATACTCCAGGTCAGAGCCTTAGCCCACCCTCTCACTACAAGTTGTCTAAGCACAGGTACCTACTTGAACAACATCCATCAAGAGGCCAGCAGCTACCATTCCCAAGCCAGCCAGAAGGAACGGCACAAAAATCTGGCAGGCAATGGAGAATGAAGTCTCTGGGAGAAATCCACTGGCTGACCTGGTCAACTTGCAGGTGAAACCTCTCAGCTTCTTGCCATGGAAGCACAGTTCCAGCTGTAACTGGGTGACCACCATGGTCACACGCTGTTACCCCATGCTCAGCAGGAAAATGGAGGGAGATTAGGACATGACACAGATCCTCTTTGAAGCTCTCTCCAAAGCCAGAAGGAATGTTTTTCCTCAAACCACAGCAACGATGCCAAATTCCTTTAGTTTCTTCTCCTCCTAGGAGCACGTCCAGATGATTGCAGCAAGGGTATCCTCCAAAATTGGTTCAGCTGGGTTGAGCCCAGGTGGCAGCAAACTCGATGGACACAATTTCTCTGATTTATATCCAGGGGGAAATTAAAAAAGAGAAGAGAAGATTGTAGAGATGCTTGTGGACGAACAGAAACGAGCCCACACCCCATTCAGCTCCCACCGCTTCGGTAAAAACCAGTAAGACCTGCTCAGGCTACAGCACTGAAAGAGTAACAAGTCATACAAGAATCCCTCAGCGTGCTCAAACACACTGGTGTCCTTTCTCCTCGGGTTACATTTCTCGTCAGAGCGCGGCGCGCGTTTGATACGATGGTTTAATGTGTAAGCCTGCCGCAGAGCAGCCCAGCTCAGCTCCCTCGCTCCCACCACAAGCCCTGCTGGACTTCCCTCACTGTCCCGAGGCCGAGGAGCTGTGGAGTTACCAACCACGATCCATTCTGCACTTCTCCAAGGTGAAGAAAGGTCAAGGGAAGCAGGAGCCCACGTTTCTCTCAGCTGACGGCATTACGCAGGTCTCGTCCCAGGCAGGTGACACAGCTGAGCCGCTGGTGACACAAGATCTGCCCTTCTAGACCCCGGCCCCTCGTGTCCGCTCCGTGGTCTCGGTGGGGCAGAACAATCAGGCTGTGCCAGCTGTACCTCTGAATGACTGGCTCTCAGGGGGGAAAAAAGTTCAGAGAAGCAGCCAATAAGCTTCAAAAGCGAGCACCCTTATCTGCTGTCATCACTTCAACTTTCTGCTAGTTTGCAAAGGCCAAGATAAGAGTCCTAGCTGAGCTCATTTAAGGTAGCTCCATAATCTCTCTGCACGACAGGCAAGGCAGAGAAAGGGCACACCGTGGGCTGGTCACCCTTCTGCTCCAAAGTGAAACACGCTGCTCCTGCATGCTCCGGGAAATACTGTCTTTGAGAGAGGGGGTCTCACCCCAGAGGCTTCATGGTTAAGGAGCTTATACAAGGTAAAAATTAGAGCTGTACCATGGCTACATACAGCCAAAAAATATTTGTATCCTGCTCCGTAAAGGCTTGAGCTCAAAGTCAGGCATGTAGGGAAAAGAGTTATGGTATTATGCCTAGGCTCCTTTCTAATAATTATTTTGGGCAAACTAATGAAATCAGAGGGTGAGAAAGCTTTAAAAAACACCTTTTAGGATGGATCAACCCCTTCCTTCACATTCTCTGCAGAGAGGAAAAGGCTAATGGCTCGTGGACTCTGTCCTTGTGACAGGGTCCCCAGCACTGCGGGGGAGTTGGAGGGAACATGACATGCTTGCAGCTAAATTGGGAACTGAGGAAGCTCTCGGCTGTTTAGACAGTGTTTCTTTGGTCTGAATTCACACCAACTGAGGTGACAGAGCAGATCTCCCTGGAAGCAAGACAGAGTGGAAAACAAATGCAAGCTACAGAGGCTTTGTCCTTCGATGTTTTCTTGGCTGTTTTTTTGGTACAGCCGCTAAAACCTTCTCCACTCCCAGCTGCCTTGGTGTGTACATGTGTCTCCACCACCTAACAATGGTCCAGTTAGCTGAAAGCTAACAGGAGAGTACCTTTCAGCTAATCTAACTGGAAAAAGGGTCCCACAATACCTGGAAGAGTCAGGTTAATAAAAATCCTGTAATAACTACACATGACCCAACCTCTTTATACCAGCTGGGAAGAGAGAAATGACAGTATGAAGGCCCAGTTCTAGTTAGTCATTCACAGAGGCTTCAAGGAAACAACAGACAACTTCTTGACAAAATTTCTGGACAAAATCATAGGTTTTCCAGTTCTAATAATGTGCCTACCTAGTCCCATATGCCACTGTATCAGCTAACTGGATTGATGACAGGCAGAAGCATTAATGTAAAGGAAATATCAATGAGACTGAATGACTCAAATGACATTAAAAAACACAGCAGCAACACATCCTGTACTAAAGCGTCAGCCTGACAGGGTTTATGAGTTTATCACGCTCCATCTCTCTCCTGCTAAGCAAGCACCATAAAAAGCCCTCAACCGATAAATCAGTATGCAGAGAGGTAATTGGTTCAGGTGACCCATGTGTGTACACTGGGCCATTTCATTATGCATTTAAGGAGCCTCTGATAAAGAGCCACGCCATATTTATCAGCAGAGAGATGCATCACATTTTCCTGGTGAAGAAATATACCTTATTTGTCCAGAAAACATACATCAGGTTTGAGAAGAATGAGAGCATTGATCAACAGTGGGAAAAGACTAGCTAGTGAAAAGACTAAAAAAAAACCCAACAGCTCATGGCTGCGCCACTCAAGAAGGCAAAACCTGGAGAAGTGCACTGCTGCCCTTCTCTGCACACAGATACATCCTCATGTTGCCTGCTAGTCAACAAGTAGCACTTTTCTGGAGGACAGAAAAAACCTCTTGGGTGAGTCTTGACCCTGATCTAGATCCCCCATCCACTGGCACAGTACAAAAAACAGAACAGAAAGATGGCAAGTGTCTGAGAGCACAGTTTCATACATACCCTGCCATCCCTGCAAAGAGGAGACAGGAATGACAGAACGTTCTCACAACGTGGCAGAGGTGGCAGCAGGCAGCACTATTCCAACACCATGGGCTCACAGGAGAATGAAGCTTTGTCCCAGCTGCTCAAGCACCACCACTCCTGACTCTGCGAGCTCTCTGTTACACCAAGCAGTATATTTTTGTTTCTAACTTGCTCTTCTCCTCCCCACTTTAGGACAGGGCAGAGAAGAGAACTTTTGTGGAAAGCTGGAAAGCAGGAAGATGGAGAGTGCCTGGGGCCCAGGGACTCTCAGGGATCCCCACTGGTGTCCCACAGAAACAACAGCAGCAGCCAGGCAAAGGCCAGGACTGGCTCAGGAAGGAAGGGCAGCACAAGTCCTTGATGAGATGTGCTCAAGGAGTCCATGGTCGTGCACAAACAGCCACTGTGCTAATTGCCAAAAGCCACATTTCCTATGAGATGTTGCATGGGTTGATTTCCCATACTTTTAAGCACTACTATGATGGCTTTTAGTGAGCTCTGTATTTGCAAAACCAGAAAACAGACTTTTGCAGTTTCAGAGTAGAATGAGGTTTGCTTCACATTCTGTTCATATTAGTGGCTCAGTTCCCTCTAGGGAAAAAAAACTCCCAGGGAAGAAACACTGAGGGAAAAGTCCTCCTCCAACATCATACACCCATCTGCAATCCATTTCACACTTTAATAACTCACAGTAGGAAGAAACATACATTTAATGTCAGAGGTCCATAGGAACAGGCAGCTCTAGAAAGTCTAAAAAATAAATACGGAAGTGGCTGCTCAGTGTTCAAGGCTCTTGGGAATAATGTCCAAGGAGACAAAAATTAGTTTGACACTGGGTTCTGCATTTGCCTGGTGTTCCGTGATCTGACTAGACATTCTGCTGGGTATCAAGTACATGCTAAGGTCAGTTAAGGATACTGTGTCACTCCTAAGCCTTTATAGCTCTTCTAGCTCAGGGAGATCAGCTCTGGGTTAATGACAAAGGGACACAGCCCCACATTTGTGAAAGTTGTCAATGTTAGCACTGTAGCTTCTGTGTCACTGTATCAGATAGGTCAGGGTAGTTTGACCTCACAGCTAGTTAGTCAAATAACAAGGTTAACAAAAAGGCATGCTGTTAGAGGAACCCAGAGTGCAAAGGCATGGCAATTTATAATCAGCTTTAAACTGTCTAAAATTAGGTGCTGATCATTGCCTTAAATGTCCGTATTGCAGCAGCACAGGAGGAAAGGTCTTATCCTGATCCCCACAGTGGCAGGAATGGGACTTCAGGAATTCAGGTCTTCTGCTGTGAGGCCTTAGAAAAGGATGTGGTGCACAGGCAGGGCTGAGCTGTGGTATGAAATGTTAACAATGCTGGGCTGGCTGATGCCTTGTGCAAGGAAGCAGCGGGTGCAGGACTGTCCAGAGCTACATCCACGAGTGATGTCACCACTGTGTCTGCTGCAGGAAAGCACTGTGCCACCCCAGGCTGTCCTCACCCACCCTCTTCCCAGGACCAAGGGGAGATCTCTGCATATTCCTAATCACTGTTCAATTAGGACTCCACATTCCTAATCAACCTTCATGTACTCTTTAGTACCGTGTCCTCTTTTTTATCCAGAGAAGGAAAGGCACCAGAAAAGCACCACGTCCCTTGAGAACTGCACAGCACATAATAGCTGACTTTGAGGGACATGCTGGCACAGGAAACTGCTGCAAATCCTCCCTTACTATGCCATTCCCAGACCAAATCCCCTGCCTGTGAAGAAAAGTCCCCCACTTATCCCACAACAGGTATGTCAGATGAGCTTCTTCCCCTTACCTGAACATAATCCAAAACCATGCCCGCCAAGACCATGCCAAGCCCAGCTAGGAGGTATGGCAGGAGCACTTGCAGGCAAATTGAGATTGCTGACTCTTCCTGTGCCTTTGCCATGGCTGCTTTCTCCTCAGCCAGCAGCTTCTGCTGTGCATGCAGAGAGAGAGGGACATCCTCTGCCTCCTGGCTGCCAAGTCGGCTCTCTCTGTGTTTACCCTTGCTCTTTCCTTTGTGCCGGGATCTCTCTCCAGTCCTAGACCTGCCCTCTTTTCTCCTCTGCCGGACTTCATCACCCTTCATGGTGGCTTTCTTGAATCACAGTTTTTCTGAAAAACAAAGAAACAATGAGATAACAAAAAGAAGTATCAGGTAGGTGAGAGACAGGAAATTCTGTGGTACTGTGTGCACTCCTGAAGGCAAGCTACCACTTACTCCCCAAACCCAGGATACTCTGCTGGCCCAAACACTAGTATTTAGTTTACCTTCAACTTTGTATAGTGCCAAACCAATCTCCCTTTCTGCAGCAGCATCTCTTCCTAGGCCTGTGCTCACGCTGCAGTGCTTGCTGTGCATCCTGGCTGCTCCCCTGAGAACTCCCAGAATAATGCAGAAGGCGCTGCACATGGCCTGAACTCTTGACCTACCAGCTCTCACACTGGGAGTCACAAAGAACTTATGAGTCCAGCAGAATCTAACCCTTTCCAGGACCGGACCCCTAGCCAAAAAATGGGAGAAATCGACTTCTTTGTATCCTAGCATCCCACAGTCCAGCAAAGGACTAGGGTCAAGGTGTGTACTGTGCTTACTACCTAGCATAGCTGTCCACCACTCCTCAATAACAAGACAATTATTTGATCTTCATGCTAATCTGGATACTTTTCCTTCCTTTTGTGCCTTAGGTGACACACACGCACTACATGACTAATCTGTCTACACAGAAGTTGCCATGACCCCACAGCATCTTACAAGAAAAAAATAAACATGCAATATTCTAACCGGTAGCCCTTTTGTTGCCATCAAATCTCTTTTCTTGATGGAACTGTCACTCACACTGCCTGTCCCATTGTTGACCCAGGCAGTGCCCCAACTCCTTCACCCATCAGCTCCTACCAGCCCTCATCTGGATTAACCTCTGCCAGATGTTCTCTGATGCTCTCATTTTCAGGATGGACCCCTAACACGCCGCGGCCCTGCGCTACCCCAGGCACGACCAGCCCCCTTCTTGCCGCAACATCTGGAGAGCGGAGGGAACAGCTGGGGAGGGGAAGGGAGGGAAGGAGGGAGGAAAGACGGGCACGCCTAAGTCCCGCTCTGCGGGAGGACGGACCGCGGCCCGGTGGCTGCGCGGCGCTTACCGGCTCGGAGAGCGGGCGGGGCGCTGCCCGTGCCGGGGCTGTC